AAACCCCAAAACCCCAAAACCCCAAAACCCCAAAACCCCGAAGTTATGATAAATAATTGGATAATTTATTAGTAATTATATCTTTAACAAATGGAGGCAAAGACTAGTCAGAAGGAGGAAGGTAAATATTAAATATAACTCAAGAATACTTCGTAGAACTAGACAATTCAAATAAGAAATTGAAAAGCTCACAAATTCTTTGCTTTGTTTTCAACTTTATTAATATGTATCCTCAAGTTTTAAGGTTCTAATGATAAGCTTTAACTTTAATGAAACTGTGCTAGATTTGATAAGTAGCCAAATGAGGGGCTTAGGTTTTTGAATTCTTTATCATAATCACAAACTGAGAAACAAGATATCATTACAGCCAGCTTAGCTCTCAATTGCAATCATGATTCCTTTAAGAAATCTTATAACATATTTCTATTTTAACTCTGTCTCAGTACAGATCTTAAGAATTAAATATCCCAATTTGGCAAGCTTAATAAAGCATGACCCCTCCAAATTTAAAGCAATAACTATAATCATATATTTCTATTCAATAGATTCGATTAAAGCTTAAATATCAAAAATCCCCATGGTGACTAATAATGATGAGTCAGATGCTTCCTAAAATTATCATTAATAGAAGCTCAAAGTTTGACTTCACCCAATGCTCACCATAGCTCAAGCTATTAGAACCCAATCTGGTTTTGCATTCTCTTCACAAGGTCTCTTCCATGTTTTTGAAGGCCTACTACATTGCTCTAACATAAATATAGAAGAAAGATTGATCCTTAAGAAATCTGACAGAATTATTAAAGATGTCTATTCAGCTGCTCACCAAGATTCCAGATATTTAAAAGAATTCTCCAAAAAGGATTTATTATTTTTACTTGGAGGGAGTATTCCTAGTGACAAGTTTGCAAAGAGAATGCAGTCTCTCGCAGTTCCAAAACTTCATAAGATATCATTTCCTCGCTTTCAAAACAAAGATAAAAGCATTCTGAACTTCATCCTCTATTGTTTTCCTCGTAAAGTGAATTGTTTCAGAGTATATGGAGAGGTTGGACTTCCTAAATTTAAAAGTTATTTTCCTGAATTAATCAGAAATTCTTGGAAAGTTCAAGATGAAGTGAGCTTTAATGGCTTCAGAATAAACCAAAAACAGCTCCAAAGGATAATTTCGGTATTCAGACATGCAAAATCTTTGAGTGTTTATAACTCTATCATTTCAGTACCGAAAATGCCTGACTTCACCCATGCATTAGGCAAAACAAGAATCGAGAAGTTGATTTTTAATTTATGTGGAGCTGTGAATAGAAGCAACTGGACCAATAATCCTCAGGAATTTGTAAATCTCATTGAAGGATTATCTAAATCTCAAGACCTCAAGCAAACCCTAAATTATTTTAGCGTCAGCAAATGCAACCTCGAAGAAGCTCCAACGAGAAGAATCCTCAACACATACGGTTTCCTAAATATAACCCTTATCCTCTAATTCTCTCCCTCAAAACCTCCCTTCCTCCTTACTTTCAACCTACTGTCTCTTCCCTGGGGTTTTGGGGTTTTGGGGTTTTGGGGTTTTGGGG